CGTGCTGCTTGAGCTGATCAAGTGAGTTGGTGAGAAGGTTTCTCGTGGCTGTGTGCTGTTGCCAACCGTGCGTGTTGCTGTGTGGAGGTTCCACAAAACTCAAGTCTAGGTTCAGGGGGAGTTGATCAGGATTAGGTTATCCTGAAGAATCCATGTTATTGAACAGAATGGTAAATTAAGAAGTTGTACTTGATTTACGCGTTTGCGAATAAGTTATATTTGCTTTCTGATTTTAGTGGATTTGATTTCTGGACTTGGTCCGGGGATGTAGGAAACGAACCCTAGTTAAAAATTCTATTGTGTCATTTATTTTTTGTACATATTGCCTCACTTACGTTTTCATTGCCTTTCGGGTTTCCAACATTTTTGTTTTCGGTATGCATTTCCGAAAAGTTTTTTTTTTTTTTTTATCAAACCAAATTTTATAGATTTTTTAATGTTCAACCATGGAGAAAATATTGAAGACTAATAAAGAAGATATAGAAAAAGACTCGGCTTAAACATTTGCTGTGCTAAAAAGCTTGAAAGATAGAGATAGAAGTAAAGGTTTAACAAAAAAATGTCATGTAAAATGCTTTCCAGCTCATTAGCAACACCTCTAGACTTGAAAAAATTGACAAGAGAAAGAGATTTAGTGAACACATTGAGGTGTCAGATCTCTATAGTTGAAGCGGCTAAAATTGTGTCTTTGATTACGAATTCCACTCCAAGTGGAAACACTTTCGACGTAGAGCTCCTTATAATAATTCCACTAAACATAAGTGAAGAATTTGGAAGGAAACTAAACTCCATAAAAGAGAAAGTCAGATTCAGTGGAGAGATACACATAACTTGATGTTTCTTCCCAATCTGCCACAAAGGAAAAGTAAACAAACTCCAAGCAACTATTATCATAGTGACATCAAATCGGGACCTGCATATTGTAGTAAAGCATCACACAAATGCGATAAAACAAGCCTCGCACAGAAGTGATAAATTTGTAACTAGATGGCACCATATGAAAACTCTGCGTACTACAGTAAGGGAAAAAAATATGCATCTTGCAGTAACGGGTCACAGAGAGACGAAAAAAAAACAGCCATGGGCATAATAAGAGGACCAAAGACAACCGAAACAATTGGGACTAAACCAACCAAGCTTGGATCATATATGACCAACTCTAACCATTCCACGAAACCCCAACCACAATACGAATCAGAGGGTAGGGAACATGAACATACCAATATGATGTCACCAGTGATTAGCAAACGCGCACAATCTGGTGGATCTGGCAGGTCCGGCGGTTCTGGGGGTTGAGCTATTTCGGCGGCGAGTTTCAAATATGGTGACTTGGTGAGAATCTGTAACATCTTTGTCGGTGGATCTGGCCATGGAGAAGGTGTTGTCGTTAAATCGGAGAAACCAAGACAGCAGAGATCGAGAGACAAAATTCTTTTTTCAACCATGGAGAACGATATGCACAGGGGAAAGTTAGCGGCGGCGAAGATCAAGAGGCATGACTCTATTGTTGACGGCGAAGATTGAGAGTCAGAGCTCTGACGGCGGTGGTTTTGAGTCTCGTGTCCGAGAGAGAAACTAGGGCGAATCCTCAAGTTTTTACCCGTCTAAATAAATTCGGATAAAACTATTTGAATTCCGAATTTTTTTTTTTTAAATTTTAAGTGTAAAATGTAGAACAGACTAATAAATAGCATAATAAACAATGTAATTTTTTTCCAACGGAACTCATTATATTGGACTATTTTCTCAAATCTGTTTTTGCAGAGATGGAGTCAAACTTTGGTAGAAAAAGCTGCAAAGAGGAATTATTAACCACTTGATTAAAAAATAATATGTTTTATTCCTCTTATATGATTATATGTTCTATTCCTAGTGATTTAGAATTATATGCTGCAAAGACTCCATTAGTATCTGAAAAACCCACTCCATTAGTATCTGAAAAACCCAACTATTTCAAAACCAATTATATATGTAATCATACAAAACCAACTTTATATGTATGATTTAACATTAAAACGAAAGGTGCCGTGGTGGAGTGGTAACATAAAGGGGTTAGTTTCCTTGTGTTCTGGGTTTAAATTTCTTTTTGTACGGAAGGTAAATATCCAAAAACTGTCTCTCCGTACTGAAAATATTATGAGCAGGTTTGGAACTCCCACGTTTATAAAAAAAAAAACCTTAAAACCAAAAAAAAAACTTTATATGTTTGATATGTTCTACGTTACTAACTCTTTTGTATAAATGAATACACCAACATCGTAACATGCTTTAATTTGTGTTTTAGCATGAACCGCAGTGCATATATCATAGTAGCCGTTCTGAACTGTTAACGAGTTTGTTATATAAACTGGTAACAGAAGTTAAATTTGTGTATCCATTTTACAAAATAGTTTCCATAATTTGTTATATATAGTAATCAACATTCAGACTTTCGTTTTATTTTATTTTATTGATAAAGTAGCCGTTTTGAATTGTTATCGAGTTTGTTTTATAAATTGCTGACGGAATTTAAATTTGTGTATCCATTTTACAAAATAATGGAAAATTTCCATAATTTGTTTTATGTTGTAATCAACATTTAGACTATTATATTCATAAATAACATTA